CCAACACATCCAAATGTAAAGTGTGTTTCTCCGCACAGACAGAGTGAGGAGCCGCCTCCGGCAGCCCGTGGGATGAGCACACCCACAAAGAGTACTTCCTGTGCAGCGCCTGATAAATGGCACTTGAACATAAATAGATTGGGATAGCGTAGCTTTAAGTAGGCCCTTGAAAGCAAATAAAAGCAGAGACAGAAAAGACACCCTTTCCTCTTCGGGTTGTCCAGCTGCTCTCACATAATATTCCTGCAGAAACTCGGCTCAGTCCTTTAAAATCACCTAATAAATTACTGACGTGTGTTAAACTGAAGCAAGCAAGCTAAATATTTGTCTTAGTTTAAAGGAACTCTTCAGAACTTTTGAAGTTTCGTTCCTTGGAAAGCAGAACCTCTCAATCTGAATCAGAGTGAAACAGAAAGTAATCATCGACACCAAACCATTGGTGTCATCTCAATCCAAGATGGCCACCACAGCCAATTGACTCGGAAAACATACATGACCATAGTTTAGTCAGTCTTTCAAATATTGAGCTAAACGTTGGTGTGGCAGTAGCTGAGAGTCATAATCATACTCTGAGCCAAACAGTTTGTACAAATTCTTTGGTAAAAACTTTTGCCATTACCTATTTGGACTCAACTCAGTTAGTAAAATATCTCACAAACAACTATATAGATTTTAATGAATCTCACAGGAAGTACTTCCTGGATGTACATCTACAACTGATTAATGTTTGGAGTCAATCCACATAATGATGGCTGCTGCACCTAACTCAACTTAGCAAACAAAAATGGCTAAAACTCAGTTTTACAGACACTGAGATAAGCTTTGATGTGGTAGTAGCTGAGAGTCATTCACAACACATCTCCCTGAAATCATGAGCTTAAGTTATTTTCAAGGTTTGACTAAAACTCATTTCTCACTGTACGTTGAGAGGCAGAGGGTGATATGCATCCCTCATTGAATGCTAGTTTTTTTTTCATTAATATTATTATTTCCCTACTCTCTGTTTTACCACTATTATTTAAATCAAGGTTAGTCCACAAGGGTACTCCAGAAACACTACAGCTACCTGCTACTGCCATTATTTGTGTTGGCAAATAATGTAAATAATGAAGTTCTATGTAAATAAATCTATGATTAAAAATGAATGACAGTATTAATGTTTATTATGTAGGCCTAGTACTGATGGTGGCCTTGTTTGGACCAGCTATTAGCTCATCAATCTGGTCAGAATTAAACACAATTAAAGCAAAGTTTCTGAAAAGTAAGGCCAGTCAGAGAGCTGTCAGGTAAGATTTTAGTTGTTCATAAGTTTCTACTGAAAATCATTCTTTAGGCATCTGACCAATCTCTGTAACAATATACAACAATTTTTAAAAACTATTTAATCAAAGACAAAATTATGGTCAGAGCTGAATGAGTGTATAGCTTTAGTTTGTTATGTTTTAGTGATATTTGATTTATTGTTGATCATGAGAAAGATTGATGTCTTTAAATTAATGAAATTGCTGATTAATGCCATCATATTCAACAGGCCTAGAATAAGTTATAGACTATATGTTTTTGTCTTTGGAAGACTTTAATATTTTAGTTATTTTYAAAAAGTATATTTTAAAACATTTGTTGCATTGTTGCAAAAAAACCAACAACAACAACTTGTGGATGTTGAAACTTACCAGCATTCAGCATTCCATCAGCTCTGCAACAAAACGCCCTGTTGCATATTTCCTCACACTTCCTTTAAGTGGAGATAACATCTGGGATAAGAAAGCAGCTAACACTGAGAGGGAAAGGGTGTGTGTGTGTGTGTGTGTGTGTGTGTGTGTGTGTGTGTGNGTGTGTGTGTGTGTGTGTGTGTGTGTGTGTGTGTGTGTTCTTGTTTCTGTGACAGAGGAGGACCATGGTATGTTTTTAACCATTAAAGTGAGGACCTCACGATTTTTTTATTTTTTATTTTATTTATTTATTTATTTTTTTGCATCTCTACTAGTTAGGTTCAGAGGTATGGTGTGAATTAAGTTTTGGTTCAGATTAGGGTTAGGAATTGACCAGTAATGGTTAATTTTTTTATGTTAATCTTTAGGGAAACTATCTGGGTTAGGCATAAATACAGTTAAAGAAATGAATGGAAGTCAATACAARKTTGTCAGTTTGATGCAAGTATAAGGATGTGTGWGTGTGATGTGTGTTTGTGTGTGTGGGGACCGGTATTCCCTACGTTGTGAGACAGTATTTTTGGCATACACACCTACTTGTGGGGACCTAATGTTACTTATGGGGATATAAGTCTAGTCCCCATAAGGGAAAATGCCATTGGTGGGTTGGGGGTTAAGATTAGGACCAAGGTGTGAATTGAGATTAGGTTAGTTTTAGGGTCAGGTAGGTATCTGTGAGGGTAGGGTTAGGGCTGGTGGTCAGGGTTAGGCTGTAGAAAATAATGGAAGTCAATGCCAGGTCCCATTAAAGATAGCTGTACCAGATTGTGTGTGTGTGTGTGTGTGTAAGAGGAGGCTCTTCAAAGCTGGTTTTGAGCATGTTGGATCAGCCGTGTAAAGGGAAGTGTGGGAGATAAGCCCACAACAGCTGCCAAACACCTAACTCTGTGTTTAGTGTGTGTGTGTGTGTGTGTGTGTGTGTGTGTGTGTGTGTGTGTGTGTGTGTGTGTG